TTCTTTCTTTCTTTCTTCTTTCTTTCTTTCTTTTGCCAGCTCAGAAGTCACTGACTACTCTTTTCAGGATGAATAGCTCAAAATGTGTCTGATTCATTAGTCTCCCACCCTCAACTCCTTACTCTATCAATTTATTTTTTCTCTTCTTTTGGAATCATTAGTTGCTGCACTAGCTCTTTTCCACTCACATCCCCTCAGATCAGTATCAAATTGACCACAATCTGCACGCTCTCTCAGCTCCACTCTCCAAATCTTAATCTCTCCTGTGTGTGTGTGTGTGTGTGTGTGTGTGTGTGTGTGTGTGTGTGTTTTCTCATCTACTCCCTAGTTTGAGTTCTTTTGACCTGCTTCTAGTGCCTACAAAAATCTATCCTTCAAAGTTTCACTAATGACATATTAACATCTAAATCCAATGACTTTTCCTTAGATTTTAAGCATTCACGATTGACTGAAATCCCTAACTACTTTTTGATGTTTTTGTTCCTTCATTTATACCAGTCGGTCCTCTGCATGAACTTCTAGGGTTCTCTCCTGTCAACCTGTCTATTTCCATCAACTTAATTAATACCATCTAGTACCTCTGGTTGAATTCTTTTTAAAGTTATGCTCTTATTTATAATAGATTTGTTCTATAGATATATTCATTGGCATTGAAACTCAATAAATTTAAATTATATAATTAACCATATAATATTAAAATAACTGACTAAAATGAAAATATTTAAATTATTTTAGTGAAGCTCCGAGGCTATGGATTTACTTTTATAAGCTCTCATAACAAAATTGAGTTTATTCAATACAAAATTTTCGTTTATTTCTGTATAAAGAAAATATAGCCAAAGTAATACATTGACAAAATATTTTCATTACAAAACTGGTTGAAAATTACTAAGTGATCTAAATGAAATGTTCAGTTGACATGTACTAATGAGGATTGGTTCTTGGTACACATTCAAGGATGTTTAATAAGTCTATATATTTTTTGGTATAAAAATAAAACCTATTTCATTCTATATTATTTCTTAGTGAATAGTGCCATTTTTGGAAAAAAATTATCTTCATTTTATCATCTTAAGGAACTGCCAATTTATTAGTAAAGTACAGCTAATACAAATTGAATAAACTTAAAGTAATATATTTAACATATATAGTGTTCTTGGGTGAGGAACAATACACAATCTGAATCTAGTGGCATTTCAAATTTTATTCATAACACTTAGGTGCATTTATCATTCAAGAACCCTTCAGACATCTTGAAATATCTCACCACAGTGAAATGAAGAGAAGAAAAAAATAAAATTATATTGCAATTATATTTGATCTACTCAAGTTGACATTTAAATTATTCTCAAATACTGTTCATAGTTTCATAGATGTTATTCTTTCAATTTTTATGTATATGCCTCTACAGTGAAGTTAATGATATCTTTAATTTTACCAATGCTCTAAATACAATGGTGTGAAATCATCCTAAGATTTATGTTACTTAAATAACATTGACAACATTTTTTCTAGAGATGATTCTAAAGAGTCTTAAAAATTATACAAGTTCCTGCAGTTTACATTAGAAAACAAATATCTGATTATTTTTTCTTCTATTTCTTTAAAAATGTCATTGGGTTTTTGATAGTTTAATTTGATTGCATTAAATCTTTATATTTTTTGTAGTAAAACGGACATTTAATGTTGACTTTTTCAATCCATAAAAATGAAATATAGCTTCATTTCATTGTGTCTTTCTCAATCTTGTTTATTAATGTTTTATAGTTTTCAGTATATAGGTCCTTCACATCCTTTGTTAAGTTTATTCCTAAGTATTTTACTCTTTTTGTTGCAATTGCAAAATAGGGTTTTTTTCATTTCTTTTCCTGAAATTAATGGAATACTACTCAGCCATAAGAAAAGATGAAATACTGCCATTTGAGACAACATGGATGGATCTTGAGACTAACATGCTAAGAAAAAGAAAAAGTTAAGAATCATATCACCCATAAAGAGGTGGGATATAAAAATGAAAGCAACAAATGAACCAATAAGAAAAACAAGCAAAAACTCATAGGCATAGTCAACAGTATGGTAATTACTAGGAGGAAGAGGGTTTGGGGTACGAAAGGGTAAAGGAGATCAAGTATATGGTGACAGAAGATTTGACTTTGGGTGGTACGCACACAATGCAATATACAGATGAATCATAGATTTGTGCACTTGAAACCTAGATAATCTTATTAACCAATGACACCACAATAAATTTAACAAAAAAAGAAAGCAAACATCTATTTCATCTTCAACTTTCCTGCCTTCAAAAAAAATTAAGCTTTCAAACTTGTTTCCTCAAATAGTTTTTGTCATTAAATAAGCCTTATAAATATTTAAATCACATGCACATTCTTCATATAAAATTGAAAATAAAACTTTGGATCTCATCAAAAAAGTGATTTGGGTATACCTTGATAAGGAGAAGTTGACATTTTAATACCTAGGATGAGATTCAGGAGGGCAATAGAGTTATTTTTGACTATGGACATCTCTGGAGCTCTATAACATATATGGCTGCATGTCACATTAACATATGAATTAAGTTTTGGAACCTCCCCGCAAAGCATCATTTAAACAAGTTGCATCAAGATCAACAAGTAAAAGTGCAGCTGGAAAAGGCTGGCACTCACGGAGGGGATCAGACTCACTAACAAGGCCTGGAGGGAAGCCTGTTCATTCAGTGTCATCTCTGTTCCTGATCCAGATGTATAATTTTAAACCATCAGACAGACAATCAATAAACACACCATCCTGTGCATAAATCACGCCTCCTACATTCTAGAACCATTTTTTTAAAGGAAAATAAACAGTTTCTTCATGTTGCTTCCTATCACAATTTTAATAAGCTTTATATCATTGTACTAAAAATATCTGTAGTGTTGTAATTAGAAAAATCATCTTCTAGTCATTTATATTTTTCTTCCAGAAAACAATGTAGTTTCATTTTTAGTAGTAGAGATGAGTGTGAGAAATCATATAAAAGGTAGGTATAATTAATATTTATTAATATGTACTAAGAAGTGCTAGAGAGATGCTTAATATATAAATATAGCAATGCCTTTATAGGTAATTTAGAAATCAATCTACTTTCTCTCACACTTGTCCTAAGAATTTAAATACCACATCCTTGATGATATTAATGCTGATCTTAAAATCTAAGCCCTGGCCATAACATCCTAAATTTGGATATTTGAAATGTCCACTACATAGTAAATAATAATATTTATGTAGAGATGAGTATTCTAATGAGTAATTTAGTTCTTAGATGCAAATTAAAGATTTGATAATAAATTTGAAGTATAAATGCCAAGCAGACCAGAGCACAAAGTGATACACAGAATCAGTGATTTACTAAATGTCATCCTTATGGCCAATGAGGAGAGATGAGTGAATGGAATAGCCTGAGAAGAGTGTAGATTCTTGCTCAATTACAGCTTCCACAGAATCATATGTTCCCATTCCTAGCCTACAAAAATAAAAACTGGATATACACTC